GATGCAATCAAACTGCCTGAGGGTCTGAAGCAAAGTCAAAGGTACAGCAGTCAAAAGTTCATCCAGCGGACTAAACGCAGGGGAGATTGACACAAGAGGGTCTTAGCTTTACACAGCAGGACAAAAAAAAAAAAAAAAAAAAAAAAAAAAAAAAAAAAAAAAAAAAACTAAAACCCCCTTTTCCAGTAAGGTAGGTAGGTGGAAGGTAGGTGGGTAGGTGGGTGTGTAGGTGGGTAGGTGTGGTGTGGTGTGGTGTGGTGTGGTGTGGTGTGTGTGTGTGTGTGTGTGTGTGTGTGTGTGTGTGTGTGTATGTGATTCCAAGGAAGTTTTAAGCTCATCATTTGTGTACTGGCAAGCAGTTCAGCCCAGCATGTAAGAGGAAAAAGCTACCTGGTCCCAAGGCACCATGTGCACACAGTCTTTCTGATTCAAACTGCAAATGAATGATTTTTTTTTTTTTAAAGTAAATGTTCTACACCATTTCAGGCATAATCTCCTAAGTAAGCCTTTTCTTTTTCAGTCACATGACTTCCTGCTCAGGCAGGGACAATAGCATTTCTCTCTTGAAATCATCTTAGTCCACTTGCCTCATTCCCACTTCTCTTCAATGTTTTAACTCAAATGCTTAAGTAAAACCCAGTCCCGCTCTGTCCTGGTGGGAAACAAGATGTCTGCGGCCTAGGAGGCCGCCTGGATTTGCATAGGAGATGCTGCTCAACAGGTGGCCCCAATTCCACTCTACTGCATGCAGCCAAAATGGCAGCAGGCGAGTTGTGATCTGCACCAAGGAAGCCAAGGGAAGGTGGACACTCAAGCTTAGCCTGCAGCTTTCTCAGCCGGCAGACCACCTGCTGTGGGAATGGGTCCAGAGGAAAGCAGCATTTTACCCGGGTCTCACAAAAGCCCCCCAGTCCCAGGGAGCCTCATACACCAGGACTAGACACATGTAGCTGAATTCAGGAGGAAGGGATGAGAAAGGAGGAAGAGCCCTGGGCTCCTTCTCACACTCACTTCCAAGCCAGGGAGGGCCCCAGTCCTGGCACAGGCTCACTGGTTGACTGCAAAGCAAACTCCCGGTTCCACACTCTGATCTTCCGAGACCCTGCAAGGGAGGTGAGTAAACAGACACACACTCAAAACGTAACGCTCATGCACACCTTTCCTACACGTTCAAATCTGTCCACAGTGGGTGCAGCCGGACCAGACACCCTCAAAGCACTGTTCTAATTCCTAAGCCGTTAACATTGAAGGCAGCATCTCTTCCCTGCTCTGTGGAATTAATACTCTACTCAAAACAAAAGACAAATTTTCTACATTTTAATTAGGTAAAATTTTAAGTGTAATTTAGCTCCATACCTGTTTGTGGGCAAACAACACTCACAGCAAAGAACTGCCCATCCCCACGCCAGCTAATTCGTGGTCTGTGGTCATCCCAGGGCAGGGCAGACTCATGCTAAAGAGAGAAACACCAGTGTTACTGGGGAACCAATGCTCCCAAGTCAATCACCCTTGGCCACCAAACAGTCAACTTTTATATGATGTTGAAGCTATCTAGAAAATGGCCTCAGAGACTCTCCAGGAACCCTTCTAGAAGGGCTCTTAGTCCTGCAAATCAAGAAAAACTTAAAAACAAAATAAACATAGCCTTCCTTCTTTGGGCATGAGATGTGCTACAAAGACAGGCATTAACTACAGTCAGCAAAGGAAGCGGTTAGGAAACTATGGCAAGGAATTTGTGTTCTGTTGACATGGTTTTATTTCATGTGTAAACTTCCTGACAGGACAGAGTAAGGACACGGGGCAGAGAAGAACCCGCAGCAGGACACGGATAAAGCAACCCTGCCCTCTGCAGTATGGGCTGGAGAGAGGTCCCCACTGCCTCTTGCATCCCTAGCCAAAGCCATGAAGCAGCCAAGGCTCTGGGTGGGAGAACGGTGAACACCAGGGCATACCTCACACCCCAGAGGTTGCTCCATTTGAAAATGCTGCTAGCTCTGCTCGGCCACAGACTAGATCTGGCTAGATAGACCACATCTTACTACGATGCTGCCCTTTGGTATAGAAGACAAACTTCCTCTAGGCTGTTGTGTAACAGTTTCCTCCAAGACGAAGTACTCCTTACTGCAGGAAGCTCCTTCAGCAGAAAAGGTTAAAACTCAAAATAGCTTCAGGAAGTTCCTGAAACTGACTAGACTCACTAGGCCCCTCCCTCCCAGCAATAAAAGCTGAAAGTCTCTCTCAGACAAGCCAAGCTACAAAGACGACTCTGAGACCAGACCAGCTTGCTGGGGAAAGGAGAAGCAGCTGAACTGCCTGGAGGAGGTCCAGACTAGTCACCTGGAGTGGACACTCCCCGAGCTGTTGAGTCACCTGCAGGCTACCCAGCATGCTCCAGGTTTCCCAGCTTTTGTGAAGGTCAGCCATGTTAGGGTGGACCTTGGTAATACAGCTGTCTTTGAGTCATTTCTGCTCCTGTAAATAACCCCTTACCCCTAGTCCTTTATGTAAACCAATACAATTCATTGGTTCAGGGCTGGAGACATGGCTCAGTGGTTAAGAGCACTGGCTGCTCTTCCAGAGGACACAGGTTCAATTCCCAACACCCACATGACAGCTCACAACTGTTTGTAAATGTAGCTCTATGTGATCTGACACCCTCACATAAATATACATGCAGGCAAAAGCACCAATGCACATCAAATAAACATTAAAAAATAATTTTAAAATTCACTGGTTCCCCCAGTTGGACTTTGGTGGTATCCCTACTTCAGTCTGTTGTGGGATCCTTATCTAGGATAAGTAGACACGTGTTGTGCCTCCCTAGGAAGTTTTGTCATACAACAGGTTGAGGACTGAAATGTATAACACAGACTGCACCAGTATGTAATCAAAGATGGGGCTGAAGAAATGGCTTGGGAGATTAGTGGGTAGCTGTTCCAGCTTTGACCTGGAAGTGCTACCCCTAGTGAGGCTTCTGGTAACTGCCATGCCTACCTATGATGAGGCCCTGAGGCGGGACCGAGATGAGAGCCCTTAAGACCTAAGACTCAGATGTGACAGCTCTCTTGGTTCCTGGTTATCCTGGATACTGGATGGCAGACTGAGCAGAGTTCTCCAGAGAACCCAGCTGGACTGCACCTCACCTCTCCTGGATCTTGTAACCAACCCCTTTACTGGCTGTAAGTTACCTCCAAAATAAACCTCCTTTTTAACTACATGGAGCTGCCTTGTTAATCTCCACAATATGAGGGTTAAGAGTATGTACTAGACTTCCAGGGGACCCCAGTTTGGTTCCCAACACCCTTGTTGCATGGCTCACAACCACCTCTAAGTTTGGCTCCTAAGGATCCAATATCTCTGGCTTCCACAGGCTCCTGTATTCACATACACATATAGACAATAAAAACAAAAATTAGGACAGAGAAATGCAACGAGCAAGCAGGATGTTCAGCTATCCTAGAGGAATAGCTCCTAAGAACTACAGATTACGCTGCCTCCTGTTCAGCCCAAACCTGGGCAGTCTGTAGTTCTTCCTCACACTCATATCTGATCTCTATCCTACAGCTCGCCTTCTAAAGGTTTCCAGAGCCGACACTCCGCATCACCTACTCTGAAAAGAGCTTCCCACACCACTCCTGACGCCCTCAGTCTACAGAACATAAGAGACAGAGTGCAACACGAAACAGGAACCAGAACCTGCTGCTGTGGAAATCCCCAGCAGTTCCCTATGTCACACGCAGTCAAGACAAAAGTGGCACCACTGGGCTCCAAGTATGCCCGCCCTCCCCTTCTCTGACTCTCCTCTTCCATCCTTCCTCCAAGTCTTCTTAGCGTCCTTAGCAGTGGTGGTTCCCTCTGCTAGAACGCTCCTCCTGCCTAGTGACAAGCTCATGCCCTCACTTCTCCAGGTCCATAACCAAACACACCTTCTTGGCACGGATAACCCCAGCTTCCCACTTGCTGCAATCCAGTATTCCTTATTCTGCTCCATTTCCCCTCACAGTACTCTTCACTCCCTGAATGTCATATATTATTGTCTTCGTTAGGGTTACATTGCTGTGATCAAATGCCATGACCAAAACAAAGCAGCTTGGGGGAAAAAGGGTTTATTTGGCTTTCATCATCAAAGGAAGTCAGGGCAGGAACTCAAACAGGGCAGGAACCTGGAGGCAGAAGCCGATGCAGAGGCCATGGAGGGATGCTGCTTATTGGCTTGCTCAGCCTTCTTACATAACTGAAAATCACCAGCCCAGGGATGGCACCACCTACAATGGGCTGGAGCCTCCCCCATCAATCACTAGTCAAGAAAATGCTTGCCTACAGCCCAATCTCATTAAGGCATTTTCTCAGTTGAGGCTCCCTCCTCTCAGATGACTTTAGCTTGTGTCAAGTTGACATAAAAATGTCCAGAACAATTACCATCAGCTTAGTATCTGTGCTCTCCCAGAGTGCACATGCCAATGCAGGTAGCAGTTTTATTTCCTATCATGCATTCAATGCCTCCCACTAAGTGCAGCATATGTAAATCCTTAGTAAACATGTTTTAATTAGAGACGGAACTCATTAAAGAAAGCTAGAAAACATGACGTGACTTCACTGAGTTCAGCAAAGTGCCAGCAGGAAATGCTCTGAAGGTCAAGGCAGTACAACCTAATACCAAACCATCCCCATAAGTATAGCTTCTGAGTGAGCAATGGGTTTTTTAATTTGTTTTCTTTTCTTTCTTTCTTTTTTTTTAAGATTTATTTATTTATAATTCATACAGTGTTCTGTCTGCATGTGTCCTTGCAGGCCAGAAGAGGGCACCAGATCTCATTACTGGTGGCTGTGAGCCACCATGTGGTTGCTGGGAATTGAACTCAGGACCCCTGGAAGAGCAGTCAGTGTTCTTAACCACTGAGCCATCTCTCCAGCCCCAAAATTAAATTTGTTTTCTGAAAGCTGTAAATTTTAAGTCAAGACAAGGTCTTTAAGAAAAAAAAATTAATGAGCAGAAGTTATAGTATCTACTGGACAGTAGGAAGATTGGGTACAGTACATCAGAAACAAAGAGAACAGTATGTCTTTAGGCTAACTCACTTCCTGAAGGTACTATCAGCTAGCACTTTATTAAACAGAAGAGATACTGGCATTACCAGCCTCTTAACTGGCTCTGCAGTGCTCCAGTGGATGGGAGCACTGAACAAACCTTACCATTTGCACCGGGAAGGCTGCTTGCCTGCCTTCTGAGCCATGGAACTGTGTCTCCTTGGTGCCCCATCCAATGGTGACAAACTTGCCTAGAGGAGCGTTCAAGAACAAGAAGACAGCAAAAACAGATGAAATGAAATCAAACAGTTTCACTCATTCTTCATGAAGGTGGTCACTGACAACTCAGTCAGCTGAGCATCGGTCATTAGGTTAAAAACCGACCTTCCCAGGGATATACAGCAATGATTGGAAGAAGCGAAAAGCCCTTATCTTGGAAAGTGTGACACAAGTCAGAAGTCTCCCAAATGATTAGACAGAATGAACAGGGAAAATTTATAACATACGTCCATGAATCACAACACAAATATCTCAAGACAATAGCTAGGAATGAAATTCTGATTTTTAGCTTTAAACCAACAAACTAAGCTTTGTGTTGATGGTGGAAGGGGCTATAGGTCATCAAATGTCATTCCTCCAGTAGACTCACCTGAGACTGGAAATTGCAGAGTTCCACCAGGACCCTAGACTCTTTTGGCACTATCTGTATCTGATCCCTAAACAAGGTCACAGACTGGAGGGATTATCTATACACCACTGACTTGCATTCAGAGCACTGCATGTATGTACTCCACATAGTAAGCCTTCACAGCCATGAAACACATCCATGAAAGACTTCACCATCTACCACCTACATACCAGCAGGTCGCCATTTTCCTTCTCGGTTACTGGCATGGCATCCTTATTCTCATCCCACAAACTTCTGGGTGGAGTCATAGTAAACTCTTTTCTTCTGCTATCACATATCCAAAGCCTATGCTGGTATTTCTCATGTTAGATACGGGTAAAAGGAAAACCACAAATGTGTATTACAGAAGTTTCTGAGCTAATTGTAAAATAAAATGTACTGATAAGCTTATTGAGCACCAGATTTTTTCTGAATCCATTCCCTCTTCTAGGCCCACACTCACCTACAGGAACCTACAACCTTATCATCCTGTCTCCAATCTTACCCCCCCCCACACACACACACACACACGTCACTAAGAGCAGCCTTACAAGAAACAAACAAACAAAATGACCATGGCATATGAACCCTGCCCAAACTATTTAATCCTGCACTCCTGTCCTAGAACCTTATCATACTGCCTTATGTCCAGGTCCCTGAATAAGCCATGATGCCTAGATGGAACAACTGCCTTGGCCTAGTCCCCTACTCTTAACCCTTGTCTATCAATTATCAATCACAAGATAACTGGGACTCAGCTCAAGTCAGCATCTAGAAACCTTCAATCTCCAGTGACACCTTCTCTTCTCTTGTGGTTACTCTAATGTTTACACATCAAATCACTACTGAATCTGTGCCATATGCCCTATGGAAAAAGTGAAGGACTTAATAGTGTTTCTAGCCTCCACAGCATTCCTCAGTTTGTTTCTGAAGATTTAGACAGAAGGCACCTCTAATACTTTGTTTTGGTTTGGTTTTTGGTTTTTCACGACAGGGTTTCTTTGTGTAATCCTGGCTGTCCTGGAACATGCTCTGTAGATCAGGCTGGCCGGGAACTCACAGAGATCCACCTGCCTCTGTCTCCTGACTGCATTACCACCACCCAACTCTGAAGGTATTCTTTGAAGGGATGAAAATAGCAGTGTCCAAATGCTATCCTGGAGGTGGCGAAGTGAGAGGTATGAAATTCGACCTTAGTAACAGTTCAGATACCATCCTTCACAGTCCCTCTTCAATCAGGCCAGCTGCCCAGGGACTTCAGGTGCCAGAGCTCCTTACAGTCCTAAGTTCCTCCTCCCTCTACCCCAGCAATGCACTCACAGCCTCAGTGGCCAAATGACCTTGGCCAAATCTTAGGAGGAGGAAAATCTGACCGCTGCAGGAAAAACAAAGATTCTGACCTAGCTGGCAGGAAGAACACACCGCCTTCTACCACACTACCCCACACTTTCTTGCGGTCTACTAAACTGTACTCCAAATGTGCTCTCCTTATTCTAGCTTCAACAATTCATTTCCTGTAATTCTAGTCCAAGTAGAATCCAGGAAACCGTGAGCACAGAATACTAAGAAAGTCACCTCTCAGATCTGAAGACACATTACAGGTATGTCTGTTAGGAACTGGGACAGACTGAAGATCTTTGACAAGTATTGTGTATAAGAGAATGAGTAAAACTCTGGAACTTCAGGTCACAGAATGTTTCAGAGCAATGCTTACCTTCACCAAAATCATCCTGGTGGATCTGCTGCTCTGTGATTACTTCAAAGTCTTTTGTCATCATAATCAGGGTCTGCTGACCTTGGGGGAACAAATCAAGAACTTTTTTGTTCATGGAACAAATCAGTCATTCCAAGTGTCTAGAGCATTGGAAGATACACAGAAGATGCAGAAGACAAAGTGATATTTCGAACACCGCTGTCTCAGTAAGAGGAGGTACCGTTAGAACAGAGTAGAGAGAATGCATACATACAAAATGCTCTGAAACACAGGCTCTAGTAGGCCAGTCACCCCGTGCTTATTCTTAGCTACTGACTATAAAACCCACATGAGAGTCCTCAGAGCCCCCTTCTACAACTTTACAACTCCCTAGTTTTCCAAGACACTTCTGCAGACATAAACTGAACTCATCTGGAAGAGAGAATCTCGAGGGAAAGGAACACCAGGCACACAAAAGAGCTGTGAAGAAGCTGTTTACTAGACAGGCCAGACGGCTCAACTTGCCACAGGCCTGACAAGCCGAGCTTGATCCCTGAGCCGCCATGGTAAACTGACTCCTGCAGGTCGTCTTGTGACCTCCACCTCCACACCGTGGCTTGTGCACCCACACCCACTGCCTTGGGCTTACTGTAGAGGTCCCTGATTAGTAAAATGAATCTAAGAGGCTCATGCAGAGTCTAGTGAAGTACTGTGAATGTATCCCAAAGGATCGAAACAGGCCCACGAAAAAGGGGGGAAATCTGTGGGAGTTAAGGGCTTAAAAGAGGTTAAAACTCAGCTGCACCATGCATACAAAATCAATCAATGTGAAGGAAAAGCAAACCTGCTCACAGCAACCCTTGCTTTTAGAGTGGGTTAAACACTGTGACACTGACTACTCCAACTGTGACCTCAGCGGATTCCTCAGCTCTCACACCTGTTCCTCACCCCCAGGACGACAAGGCTGCCCAAACAACCGGTGTGCCAGCCGATGGATGAGACTTAAGAACACAGTAACTTGACGTTAGAATCCGCTATCCCTGTTCCACGAAGTTTCTGAACTAAAGCGTCTGTCTGTATGACATTAGAAGCAAGTTTTACAGTGTCAGGCAGGCACCGGTGAAAAGCTTACCTGTGGCAAAAAGCACCAGTTCTTGATCGGGACTCCAGCTCATAACAGAGATACCATTGGCCACACTCCCAACACATTCCAGCTGCATCAGAGAATATCGTAAAGGGATATTTAGAACACATTGTCTCAATAAAGATTTACTATGGACTCAACCACGACAACCAAAATGTAAGAACCCGAAGGTGGAAAGATCCACCAGATGTGCATTCAGGAACAGTTGTTGAGATACTAGACACAGAATTAAACATAGTGAGTAGAAGGGACACGATCTCATGAATGAGGTCAAACAATGACTCTACAAAAGGCTGCTACTACCAAGGTCCTTGGGAAATAAAGTGAACCTGAGAGCAAGCAAAGGCTTGGGGAGTCTAAGAGAGCTCTGTGAAGGTCTCAAAGCACAGCAGTACGACCAGGAGAGAGAACCATCAGGGGAGCCAGCATAGAGACCAGCCACAAGGCTCAAAGAGAGGTTAAATCTCAACTACAACCAGAGCCTAAAGACACAAACACAGGCGTGAAGGTCAAAGGTGAAAGGGAATTTGGGAAAAGCAACCGATCTCATCAGAAGTAGGGAACATAGACTCTGACTTGTGACAGTGAGAAACCACAAAGAAGAGGGATCTCAATGGAGATGAACAGACTGGGGCTGGCTCATAAACCTCTCAAACGCCTGGAAGGAAAGCTCCAACTTTTAAATGGGAGAAATACCAGTTGCCATATCCATGACTGATTTTGACATGTCTCACCATGAATGAAGAGTCGAGTTTCCTAACGCATTCCAGGAAATGGTTAGGCGTGAAGGTGTGCAGACTACGAGGGTCCCAACTCTACCTGCTAACTGTGATGCTGACGTAGCTCCTTAAGCTCTCTAAGCTGCAAGTACTTCTGAGCATGAGAAACAACAAGCTAGCTAAGAAGACCATAGTGAAGAGTAAATAAAAATTGGCATTAGCTGGGTGTGGTGGTGCATGCCTTTAATCCCAGCACTCAGGAGACAGAGGCAGGCAGATCTTGGTGAGTTCGAGTCCAGCCTGGGCTACAAAGCAAGGCCCAGGACAACGAGGGCCATTACACAGAGAAACCCTGTCTCGAAAAAACAAAATTAGTAAATTAATAAATTGCACTAAAGAACCTCAAAAAGGGCTTGGCATAATAAAAGCAATTAGTAATTGCAAGCTGTAACTATTGTCTCACTGTTAGTAAGACTGTACCTCCTACGACACAACAGTGCTTAGGAGATCACAACTGCCGAGGAGCTGTGGTGAACACGCCTTCAATTCCAGCACCAGGAGGCAGACTGCTTGGAGTTCAAGGCCGGGCCGGTCTACAGAGTGAGTTCTAGCACAGGCAGAGCTACACAGTGAAACCCTGCCTTAAAAAAAAAAAACTAACCAAACCAAACCACCAAACAAATAAATAAAAAACAAAAAGAAGAAGAGAGAGAGATCAAATTAACGGGATAATCTTTATTACTGTTCCTGTTCTTGAAATAATGGCAATTCACCTGCCTCAGTTTTCTAAGTGCTGGGACTGCAGGCATGAAACACCATCCCCAACTTCCAAGAAATATTTAAAGGAGATGAGGAAATTATATTAAGAAGGGAAGAACAGAAGCTCAGTGGGTATTAAGTGCTTACTGTACAAGCCTGCCAACCTGAATTCAAGCCCCAGAACCTGCCTGATACAGAAAGAGCTGACTCCCACACACTTATCTTCGACCCTCCACATGTAGCACGGCACTGCTATTCACACACTCACATTACACACATTAATAAATTAATTTTTTTTTTTTTTACGAGAAGGGGCTGGAAAGACAGCTCAGAGGTTAAGAGAATACTGGCTGCTTTTCCAGAGGACCTGGATTCAATTCCCAGCATCCACATAGCAGCTCATAATCATCTATAACTCCAGTTCCAAGACACCAGACATGCATGTGGTGCAGACACATGCAGGGAAAACATATATATAAATTAAAAAAAAAAAAAAAAAAGATACTGAGAGCTGCTTGGTAGCAAAAGACCATGGAAGTATACAGCAGGTGCCATCTAGTGTTGAGAAGGTCAACCTATCAGAACTAAGGGTTTTGTTAGAGGAAACTATCACACAAGGTGCTATGGAATTACTGCCTTTTGAAGAACTGGCTGTCTCTTGTTATAAACTTCTTGTGCAATAACAGCTATGATTCTCCCCATTTACGGTGCATTTCCATGTTATGCGTACATGCAATCTCACAATCGCATCTCAACCTTATAGGCACAACTTCCCCTATACATTTGAGGTAATTGGATAACTTTCCCCAACTGTGTTTATTCATCTGGCCAGGGCCATTCTCCAGACAAAAGTATTTCAGAAAAGATTTTTTCCAAGGACAAAACTGCACATAGATAAACATTAGCTCATCTCACTTACAGATAAGAGAATATATAACCACTAACAATTAAATCCTCAACTCTTTACCTTCATCCCGGGTTATTTACACAAGACCCTAATTTAAGAGACTTACTGCTCACATTTCTGGGATGATGTTTTAGCCACCTGCTAGTTACTGAGTTAGGCAGTTACTTCCCACTACCAAAGGAGAATGCCCACAAGGCCAGGGGGCAATAGGCGGCAACCTTCATTTTTTTGTTCAAATTAAGATATAATTCTCCCGCTTTTATCTCAGCCAGATGCTATTCCTAGATTTCCTCCTTAGTAATTACTCAGAGCAAAAGTGCTTTTACTAACCAAATGCTACATGCTATAACTTAGGTAGGTTGCTTAGCAACTAACCATAGGTTGCTTAGCAACTGAGCATACTGTCCCCTGCCCTACCAGAAAGGGGGAGGGGGCACGCTAAGGAAAAAAAAAAGTTTCATTTTACTAGTGACTTATTGACATTTACAGCCCGCTAACATTTTACCTAACCACTTCTAAATTATAGTTTGAGCATACAAGTTCCTTTTTAGAGTTACCTAATTATTTTGGCCTTTAATTGATCCTACCAGAACTCCCCTTTAGTCACTGCCCTTTTGGGTTGTAATTGGAAGATGACAATTATTGCTTTATGTGTGGGTCCTTATCTCCTCTCTCTGCGACCCTGAAAACTTCAAGCCTCACATTACTTACTGCTTGTGTGTGTATACCGGCTCCCCCCAGCTCTGGAGGAACTTCAAGCCTCGCATTACTGCTGTGTGTGTATACCGGCTCCCCCCAGCTCTGGAGGAACTGATTTGGAAGAACAAGGCTGAGAATGAAGACAGAGAGAACCAGGGAGAGAAGAGAGAACAGCAGAAGGGGCTGAGAGGAGCTAAGTATGAGAACAGAAAAGAAGCTGTGCAGATAAATTCGACTAAGAAGGATAAAGTGAACGGACTAAAGAGCTCGGTGTGCTTAGATTCATTGAACATCCCTGAGATTAGAATCCTAGCCACCTGTAGTTTCTGTTCTGGACCCTGGAGAAATCTCCTCAGGGCAGGTACCTGTGGAGAATTAGAAAAAAAGATAAGAAAGGCAGGCCAGCACTTAAGAGGCAGAGGAAGGCAGATCTTTGTGAGTTTGAGGCCAGTCGGGAAACACAGTAAGACCCTGTCACAAAGAAAAAGAAAGAAAAAAGGGGGTGAGAGAAAAGAAGTAAAAAAAGAAGGAATGAAATTCAGAAAATCAGCCTTATTCTAGATAAAAGCAATAGGCTGCAGCCTATCTCCCCTCAAGTCTTAGACTCTGGTTCCAGTATATTACTATATAATATAATTATATATTATATTATATAGTAATATATTACATATACAGATTACAGTAAATTGTAGTGCTTGAATCAAGGGGCTCTAAATTATCCAGTCAGAATTCATAACAGAAAACATAAGTCAATTAAAGAAGCCAGACTTCCTTAATGGAGAAATTCAGGTAAGAGTTAGCACACCACAAGAATTGTAAGTTTTTATTCAATGTTTAAGTTCTAATTTGAAATATCCCAATTGTCCTGTCTGATTAATAGATGCAGCAGACTAAACTAAATTTGTTTTTTGACTCCTGAAATACAGGTAAGGCCATTTAATTTCCGGTGCTCAATACCGTGGCTATAGATTAGAAGACCTCGGCACAAAGCAAGTAGCTCAGCTCAGGCTACCTGACACTTCCACTCACTGTCCGAACCCACCTGGAATGTGCTGAGATTGCAGAGCAGGACATCCCCGGAGGCGGTGGCCACACACACGGACTCCTGGTCCAGCAAGCCCTGGATCCCCACAATGAAGCCGCTTCCATCCTCTGGAAGAAAGCCTTCTGCCACCAGAAGAACTTCAGTCTTCACCTTTCACAGAAGAGCCATGGCAGCAAATTAGTGCTTACCGTCAAGAGCCCGCGGGTTTCCAGAAATAACGTTTCTAAGAACTCTTTACATATGAGATGATGTATTTAGTGTTCCTTTATGTGCACGAGTGTTTTGCTGAATGTACATGAGTGCACCGTGTGTATAGCTGGCGCCCTCGGAGGCCAATAGAGCGTGGGATTCCCTGGAACTGGAGCTATAGACGGTTGTAAGCTGCCAGGTGGGTGCTGGGAACCAAACTGGGGTCCTCTTTAAGAGTAGCCAGAGCCGGGCAGTGGTGGCTCACACCTTTAATCCCAGCACAGAGGCAGAGGCAGGCGGATCTCTGAGTTCGAGGCCAGCCTGGTCTACAAAGTGAGTTCCACAAAAGGCTCCAAAGCTACACAGAGAAACCCTGTCTCAAAAAACCAAAAAAAAAAAAAAAAAAAGAGAGAGAGTAGCCAGTACTCTTGACCGCTGAACCATTTCTCCAGTCCCTAATGATTCCTTTATAACATAAAAGCTTTCCAAGTATTTTTCCTAGATTAAAACTCACTTTCATTTCAGAAAAAACATACAATTCTATTATTATTATTATTATTATTATTATTATTATTATTATTATTATTTTGGTTTTTTGAGACAGGGTTTCTCTGTGTAGCTTTGTGCCTTTCCTGGAACTCACTTGGTAGCCCAGGCTGGCCTCAAACTCACAGAGATCTGCCTGCCTCTGCCTCCCAAGTGCTGGGATTAAAGGCATGTGCCACCACCGCCTGGCACAATCCTATTATCTTTAACAAGAATAGCTAATGTAACCGTTTTTGCAAAACAAATGCAAAAACAAGTATGGTCTGTTTAAAAATATCCAATAAAAAATAAAGCTAATGACTATATGTTCTTTATTCACATTTGTTTTTCAATGGGGAGCTCAAATCCAGGGCCTCAACCATTGGGCTACAAGCCCAGCATCCTAATGCAGTTTCCTTAGAGTTCTACAATGTGGGCAAAGACAATAAATCACACCTAAATAAAACACGAGTAGCAACAAATAATCAAAGGAACATATCGGAATCAACTTACAATTTCCAGAAATATCCATGGTCAATTCTAGCACTAAGGACTGGGATTTTAGTCAGTTTGGCTTAGAAGCCTACACATGCTTTAAAAACTCTACAAGTCTGGGGTGGGGAGTTTCAAATGACATAAAGCTCCATGGACAATATTCATGTACATTCCTAACTGATCACTATTATACTGCAAATTCACAGTAGGCAGGGTAAAATATGAGTAGGCATCCACATAAAATAGAAGGTCAAAGCTTTGCCAACTTACCTTACAAAATTAGCAGAGTTAAGAGTTGGCTACTACTAAGTTCTACCTAGTAAACCATCTACGAACAGCAAAGAGGATGACCATGTAGGAATCTGTAAATTACTCTGGATGTAGAGGGGCTAGCAGGGAGAAGGAGGTTTGGAAAAAAAGAAGCCCAGGGCCAGGCCGGGAGCTGGCATCGTCATCAGGGACTTACTTCTCTTTTCCAGGGATCTACTTCAATCAGTCCACGTTCTGAGCCAATGAGCACTGTCCCCCGTTCAGTTCGGAGAGAGAAACAAGAAGGTTTCCCTGGTGCTTGAATGTCCCTAAATTCCTGTGTCCGGAGCAACTTCAGATTTCTCATGATGAAGCAACTTCTGAGGAAAAACAAAGCCCCCTTGATGAAACATGAAAGAGAAAGGACTACCTTAACAATGATAAATGACCACTCATATCAAGCATGATTCAGGGAGCAGAGACAGGGTCATTAGAGAATAACAGGAGTCCTATTTATCTGAACACACCAGCAGATACACAATCACTCTCTTACTTCCTAAAGGTTCCAGCTTTACACAGTGCTAGAGTGGAGATGAAATTACACATTAAGGCTGGAAACATAATCAAATGATAACACAGCACAGGCTATTACTGCTGCCATGATCCAGTCACCATATTCCACATCCCTCTCCATGAACTTGGATTCTAGTCATCAAAATTTGTGCTGCTCTGCATCCATAGAATCCAGGATACAAATGACAGAGAGTAATAGCAAAGTAAGAGAACTCACTTCTCCCCATTATCCATCTGTAACTATGACTACCATCCCAGCAATGGGCCTTTACCTTTACAGGGACCCTGGGTACCAATCTCTGGTACTGCCAAAGCCAGCTTCATCATGCCGCCCGAGACAGGAGCATTAATCAAGCATGCTACATCTCCAGACACAGAAATCCAGCCCCAGGCCTCATCCTGAGTTTCTGAGTATCAATCTAAAGTCTGGTTACTAGTGTTACAGGAACTTTCTACAAATGTTAGGTCCTGATGATGCCAACATCTGGCAAGTGTCAATCCCTACCCACAGGAGTTGCTTCCTTCAGCATGCCTTCTAAATTACTTCAGCGTTCCCTTCACTTTTTCTTCTCCAACAGCTGTTTAATTCTTCACAATAAATCCTGCTGAAATACTGTGTGGCCTTTACTTTTCTGACTGGACCCCAACTGATAAACACAGTAAAACAATTTGAGTTTTTAAAAAGCACTGAGTTCAGGTGTTGTATGATATTTTGTTTGTGTTCTGACAAAGCTTGCCTGGAGATCAGAGGGCAGAGCTAGCCACTAGTTAACCATAGAGGCCAAGCAATGGTGGTACACACCTTTAACGCCAGCACTTGGGAGAAGGAAAACCGGAGTTCAAAGCCACCCTGGGCCATACAAAATTGAACCAGTCTGAAAGAGAAGCAGAGCTGGGCCATGGTGGCTCACAACTTTGATCCTAGCACTTGGGAGGCTCGGCTTATGCCTTTAATCCCAGCACAATCAAGGAGGTGGAGAAAGGATCTCAACAGCCCATTCAGTCTGAGGATTTGTAGAGACAGCCCACCCCCACGCCTAATTCCGTCTGAGATTTCATAGAGGTAAGAAGTCTCTAGTGGCTGCTGCTCTGCTTCTCTGATCTTTCAGCTTTCATCCAGATATTTGACTCCGGGTTTTTATTATTAAGACTAATTAGGATTGCGCTATATTCAGGTTTGGAAAGATGGCTCAAAAATTAGTACTAGCTGCTTTTCCAGAGGACCTGAGTTCAATTCCCAGTACCTACACAGTAACTAACACTCATCCGTAACTCCAGTTCCAGGGGATCCCATGCCCTCTTCTGGCCTCCAGGGGCACTTCATGCACATGGTACAAGGCAAGCCCATTAATCTCCCTAATGCCCCAATCCTTTTAAATGCCCCATCAAAACTGACTTCTCTGAATCGACATACCCAAAAACCCCACTCCTTTGACTTCTCAAAGGAACACAGCCCCGTACTTTCCTCAGTGCTTTCAAAGTTAGGAAAAGAGTATCTTCCAAACACTTCTAGGATCATAACCTGTTAATATCCTTCCTCTGGCACCTCCAACTCCAACTCCCCTGGCTCCATGAATTCACCTTTTCCCCATCCACATATGTGCTACAGGTCCTATCATACAACTCTGATCATGTCCTAATATTCTGACCGTTGTTCCATTTTCTCCCCTTGCTCTTCTTCTATCCACCTTCAGGCTAATCATTCTCAACAGGACACACACTAGAAGGATAAGAGGAAGATTATACATACCTAGTTGCAACTGAACAAGTCCAAACTGAGCATTAAATTCATTATCTCCTAATGTTATCATAAGCTGGCCCTTACAAGCACATGAAATGCAACCTGAAAAAAAGAGAACCTGCTACTCTTTAACCAAATAACTGCCTCACCCTGGTTTGTCACCTTAACTGTCACCTGTTTCCAGAAGCTAAAACTGTCTGCCTCTTTCTCATTCACTTTCACACTGAGGTATTCACTGATTGTCTTCGCTCTCAATATAAAAACGAATCCTTTACACAATACCTACGATCCGTTATGTGACTTACATCAAAACTTGCCAAATGTTAGGCCCTGAAGACAAAAGACCACACAATCACTGCCACCACAGAAATCACGGCTTAGGCAGGCCAGCTAAGGAAGCACGGGATACACTACTCCACAGAATAGTGGCCGATGACAAAGGGGACCCGCAGCACGGCACCGAAGCCTCCATTACCTATCACCTTCCACGGCGAGCTAACCAATTCCTGACAGAGGTTTAATCTACACGCTGCAAGGAATCCCGCAGCTGGAGGACCGGACCCTCATCCCCGGCAGCTGTGCCCTGCAGCGGCCCAGGATGGCCTCGGGGAGTAAGTGTGCACAAGACGCGTGGATCTCCCCATGCACTAGGATAGCCCCTGGACGAGCAGGACCAGGCCGCGCGCAGCGGCTCGGACCGGCTCCGGCGAACGCTCACCCGAGACGCCCTCCCGAGACTGCGCCCTCGCCTCCGCCCGCGGCTCCGAGTCCTCACGACGCACCAGGTCTGGGAGAGAACCGCCACCGCACACGGGAGAAAAAGACACGCACCACAAAGGGGCGAAACCCGCGAGCAAGCAGGACCAGCGAGGCGGCGCAGACGCGGCGTCACCAGCCAGGCGCGCTGGCTTGACGTCACCACGTAGGCGTGGCCGAGCGCGCCTCTTCTGGAGCTCGTGGCGGTGCAGACCCTGTCCGGCCGTGCTGTCTGTAGTTCCTCGGCCCTCTGGCTCACGGTTGTGTGTGTCCCACTGTTGGGCGTGGGTCCCAGAGCACCGGGGACTGGTGGGGCGGGGACGGAGGTGGGGGCTGAGATCGGCGAGCTGCGCGCGTGCGCACGAGCTACCACGCGGGAACTCCATCCGTCTGGCCTGGACCCTGAGAATGGAAGAGATCGGATGCCCGGAGGCAGGGCTGGCGGGGCCAGAGGTAGCCACGGCTACTGAACCCGCGGTGCCCTCCCTGGTGGATCGATACTTCACTCGCTGGTATAAAGCGGGTAAGTGCCGGATGATGGTGAGTTCTGCCCTACCGCACAGGCGGGATGCCGCGGGGACTCCTGCTGCGCGACGGGAGCCACCCGTGCCCTTTCCTGAGCTTCCTAGTGCCAGGAATACAGGTTTGCACTGTTGGAGAACTCAAGTAGGCGCATCTGACGTGGGAAGCGCAGTGCAACGTGTGGGTTGCTTGCAGGAAAGGACGTAAACTAAACTAAGGAACCCCGCGTTGGTCTGTCTGGGCTTACAGTGCCTAGTGATTGTGTGCCCGTGGGGATCAATCCTAGCTCGAGACGGGAAGAAACCATACTCTGGAGAGAGCATTAAGTTAAGGAAGCAGTATCTAGTGTTTTGTTAAGAGACCGCTCGTATTGTCCACTTCGAAGTTTCGAAGTAGGCTTCCCAGGTGTTCTGTTTTGTGTGCCCAGGAAATATCGATGCCACCTTTGGGAATTCTCTTACCACTACTAGGCTTTTTAATTCAGGGAAACTGGTGGACGCACACACGAACAGATATGGGCCAAATTTAAGACAAGCAACCTTCCTCAGGACTGAATTGTCCCAAAATGTGATTTTTATTCGTAACTCTAAGACAGCCCTTGGGGCTGGAGAGATGACTCAGCGGTTAAGAGCATTGACTGTTCTTCCGGAGGACCTGGGTTCAGTTCCCAGCACCCACATGACAGCTTCCAACTGCTTGTAACTCCAGTTCCAGGGGAAATCCGATACCCTCACATACATGCAGGTAAAACACCAATGCACATAAAATAAAAATAAATCATTTTTAGGAAAAGGCGGTCCCACAAAACAACACCATAATGTAAACAATGTGGTGCATATAATAGTGTTTCTCTAATAGAAATGAGTATACTCACTCATTTTAAAGTGACAAGATGGAGGCGTTAATAACTGTACCTGCCTTAACATTGAATAAATGATTCTATCTGGATTAGGCCACTTAAACACTTCATGGCCTTTTATTCTGACCACTGTTGTCAGCATGAACTATCCACAAACCAAAGAAGGTAATCCCATGGTAATAGTAAATACCAATTCAAGAACTCATTTATTCCTCCAGATGTTAAAGGAAAACCCTGTGAGGACCACTGTATACTACAGCACTCCAACCGGTAAGCAAATCAGGGATTGTAAATTATCAACACCTTTCTCTGGTAGTTGGCCTGATGTAGTCTTGAGGTGGATATGAGCATTCATAAAATTGTCTTCTACTGTGTTGAGATGGTATTATAGGAGTGTGGTGGCAGGTAGAAGTCTTGTTCAGTTGTTTACTGCTTAGCCAACCACTGAAGTACCAGAACCTGTGGAATGGGTCACTGTGGAGGCATAAGCCATGGCCTGTGTACACAGTCATGCCTGTTTCTCTGGTACCCCAGGATTACCTAAAGATTTGTGGTACTTGTGATACCTCAGTAAAACCCCCCACTCTATCCCCTACAGACAAAGAGAAGCTTAAACCAGGATTCCTAAGTGTAGATAAGAACTTAGACCCCTTTTCCCCAGGTGGCTGTATCTGCTACTTTGGAAAACAGTCAGGATATTCGACCAAAAGACTAAAAAGGGAGGCGGGTTAAAATAAATTATATGGTCTGTGCCTTTAAGAACTAGCCTCACAAAGAAAGGGGAGCTCTCCTTCCAACCTCCCTGCTGTGAGTGAGAGATTTGGAAGAGCCTCCCTGGAGACTTGTAAACTTAGAAAACACTTACTTTTGCATTCTGTACCTAAAGTCTCCAGTGGCGGCTTTGGGGACTGTGATCTAGGCCAGGCCAGTTTCAAGTCCCCAGAAATGATGGCGCCAGCCCCAGGAACAAAAGAACAGAGTCAGGATGTCTGATGGTAACCAATTAACCACGAGATGCCCCTCTCCAGAGATAACAAGACCAGACCCCGGAGATGAGTTGTAAAACTCCTGACAGGGCAAACAGATAAGCTAGAATAAGATAAAGTCCAGGCCTGGGAAAAACTTGACCAATTAAGGATGGACCCGTACTAACCCCCTCCCCTCTAAGAAATTTTATGGGTTTTGCCTATAAAAACTAACTTCCCCAAGAAAGAGGCACTCCTCCCTGCCTCACTGTATTGGGTGTAGGAATGAGTCCCTGTCTAGACTTGTATCTGCAGAATAAACCTTGCTGTTGCATTCTGGACATCCAAGGTCTTTGGTGGTCTCTTTGAGGGGCCACAATCTGGGCATATCAGTACTGTTTCCTTTCCTGGGAAGGAAATTCAGTCTTATTTTCTCCTCTTCCGTTATTACACTCCCCATGCTACACTTAGGCTCCAATCGCCACCAAGAGAGAAGACTGGACAGAAGGGCGTCTGGCTGGTCACTGCTCTGTAGGATACTGACACAGGAGGAGGTGTCCAGCCAGGCGGTAACATAGGACTGACTGTTTTCTCCCCATAGAATATGTGTCATCACACTGGCGGGATCCCATCCCGTTCTTCAGAGTGGCAAAACTATTCAGAGTGTTTCCTATCAGATCAGTACCAACTGCAGCAGGCTTCAGAACAAAGTCTCTGGGAAATTTAAGCGGGTATGTTCCTGGAATTCTGTGATTTTTCTTCCTTCCTACTGAAATGTTATATCTATATTCATGTGATAATGGATCCAGTTAGCCGTGAGCAGACTTTCTGGCAGTTCAGTGTGATTATTTTCAGTAAAACCAACACCTACCCCCACTCAGAAAACAGGTATATCAGGAGGTAGGTATACTGTCTACCATAGGAGATTCTGTGCTCGCATTCTTATCCCCAAAGACATGAGATGGAAGATGGGCCTTGACCTGGTGTCCCAGCTCTTGGGTAGCTGAGGTAGCACAATTGGAAGGAAGTCTGAGGCTCTATAGGACTGTACAGTATGTACCAGACTAGATAAGGCTACATAGCAAAACTCGGGAAAGTCAAAAAGAATCGCAGCTCCAACTGCCTGTGTTCACTCTAGAAGAAGTTTGTAAAAAAAGAGGGCGGTGCATGAAACACTTGCCTGCTTATAGGTATTTGTCAAACAACCCCTGCTTCACCCACCTCCCCGAGTTTCTGAAACAATGACCACACATGCTGTCAGGCAGGGTATTAAATATGGCACTAATACTTAAAAGGCACGTTTTTCAGTTAGTTTTGTGGGGTTTATTTAAACATATTGTTTTTATTTTTATGTGGATGTATGTATGACGTGTGCAGGAGCCTGCGGAGTTGAGGGGAGCTTGGCAGATTCCCTAGACATGAAGGTACAGGTACTTGTGAGCTACCATGTGGTGCTGGGAATTGAACCTGGGTTCAATAGTCTAACTTTTGAGTTACCTCCCCAGCCCACTAGTTTTAACTCTTAGTTAGAAATGTACTGCTTCTTCAAAAAGTCTTAGACGTTGACCCTGTAAAGAAGTTCCTTTACCTATTAATTTCTAATATAAAAGATAGGGATCTTTTGGATATCTTTAGTTTTTTGTTTTTGTTTTGAGACTGGGTCTCACCCTGTAACCCTAACTAACCTGAAATTCTATATATATATATGTGTGTGTGTGTGTGTGTGTGTGTGTGTGTGTGTGTGTGTGTATACACATATACATATATATATATTCACTCACACACACACATACATACTAGGCTGGCCTCAAACCAGAGATTCATTTAACTCTGTCTTCTGAGCACAAAGATCAAAGGTATATACCACCACACTGCTGTGGGATGTTCTGTATGTCCTGTGGGAGCCCGTTTTTGGGTTCCTTGTGGCTTTACCCAGCAGGTCCGCATAGAGGATGATTAGGACCACGGGCCTGAGTGCAGGTGTCTGAGATGGTCTGCACTTGGCTGTGCTGGGGGATGGTCTGTATGTCAAGTTGCTCTGATTGGTCAATAAATAAAACACTGATTGGTCTGTGGCTAGCTAGGAAGTATAGGACTAACAGAGAGGAGAAATAAAAGAACAGGAAGGCAGAAGGAGACTGCCTGGAACCGCTGCCAGGACAAGGAAGATGTAAAGTACCAGTAAGCCACGAACCACGTGACAATGTATAGATTTATGGAAATGGATTAATTTAAGCTATAAGAACAGTTAGCAGGAAGCCTGCCACGGCCATACAGTTTGTAAGCAATATAAGTCTCTGTGTTTACTTGGTTGGGTCTGAGCGGCTGTGGGACTGGCCGGTGACAGAGATTTGTCCTGACTCTGGGCAAGGCAGGGAAACTCAAGCTACACCACACCCCACAGAAGACAGGGTTCTTAATGAAACTAACTATGTAGGATATCGCTGCCGTATCATATTGAATTGTATATTGCTTGCAGTGGATTATCCTATAGGTTGAAATCTTTATACCTGGCCATATATAGATTTCTCATTTGTAGATGAAAAAATACATTATTAGACTGTAACTAAACTACTCATTAAAAGATGGTACCTAGGACATAGTAGGTTGTTGTGTTGAAGTACATGAGTAGCTTGATGTACTTACATCATTTTCCTGTAAGACACCCGAGTTCTAAGACTAGAATCCTGTTTTAATAGTGAGGGGTATATCAGTGGAAATGGGAATTCACAATTAATTTGCAGCTTTCCTCTCGTTACCCAGGGGGCACAGTTTCTAACAGAGCTCGCCCCTCTGTGTAAGATATACTGCTCCGATGGAGAAGAATACACCATATCTAGGTAAGCAGTGTTTTAGCCCCCGGAACCCAAATGCCTGTGTTCACGATAGTAAAACTTACTGACAACATTTTCTGTCCCAAAATTCTTTTTCAAAAATAGCTGCGTTAGAGGTCGACTGATGGAAGTGAACGAGAATATTCTTCACCAGCCATCTCTTCTTCAAGAGAAGGTAAAGGAGAGGTGGGGGAAGCAAGCCCTGTGCCCATGGCCCTGAGACCATCTCACAGTCCCACGTGCTGCTGTCTCCCCAGCCGTCCACCGAAGGCTACATCGCAGTTGTGCTACCCAAATTCGAGGAAAGTAAAAGCGTAACGGAGGGGCTGCTGACACAGCAACAGTATGAGGAGGTCGTGGTGAAGCGGAACAACGCCACAGCCACTTCATGAGCCTCAGACGGAGGGACAGCGTCGGAGTCTCGCCCTGCCCGGCCCCACCCATCGGTGCTCTGAAGAAAGCCAGCGTATGGGAAGCATTGCTCACACGGCCCCAGGAGAAGCGTCGTTCTTCACCTTACCTAAGCCCCCTCCTTTGTCTGGACGTCACAAGCCCGGGCTCCCCGTTTGTAGTCAAGCTCTCCGATCTGCCCTACCTAGGTACCGTTGGGTTGGGACGTGCAGTTGTGGGTGTTCACCTGCACATATATGTACGTCAGAAAACAACTTCGAATGCTTTTTTACCTGGTGTTAGACAGTCTCTCATTGGCTTGGAACTTTGCCAGGCAGCTCATGAACTTCCAGGGAGATGCCCATCACCTCTGCCTCCCGTCTTGCAAGGCCAGTATTACAAGTGCACACACCATAGCCAACTCTTATATGAGCCAGAAAACCCAAACTCAGGTCTTCATGTGTTCAAGGTATATTACTCTTCAGTTGCTGTGATAAAATACCATAACCAAAAGCAACTTCCACAGGAGTTTATATGGGTTTGTAGTTCCACAGGACTAGATGTCCATCCTATCAAGAAGGCATGGTAGCAAGAGCAGGAAGCTGAGATCACATTTCCACCATACACAAAATGCAGAGAGTAAGCCGGAAGTAGGGTGAGGTTATTAACTGCCCCTGGTGATGTAATCCCCCAGCAAGACTTCTTTTCCTAAAAGTTCCACCGACTGGGGACCAGCTGTTCAAATACATAAGTCTGTGGGGGTTATCTTTTATCACTCCCCCACATTCTTCCCATGATGCCTTTACACCCATAGCCATGTAATACAAAACGCAGTTAATGCAATATCAAAAGTTCCCATAGTTGTTACTGTTCTGAAGTCCAAAGTCTCTTCTAAGACTCGGTGCAGTCTCTTGTGTCCCACTGTAAATCAAGAGACCAGTTACACACTTCCAACCCACAATGGCACAGAATACACATTCCCATTCCAAAAGGAAGGACGGTGGGCATAGTGAGGAGATACCGAACAAAGGAAGACAAACGCCAGCACGAGACACCAAACCCTGCAGCAGCATGCCCACTCTCTCAGGTTTGGTTCAGAGGGATTAGTCGGCTGCCTCCAGCATTGCGGCCTACGACACAGGTATTTGTCTGCAGTGTCCTGCTCTGTGCCGCTCTCCCTGGCACGTGTCTCTCAGCTGGGATTTCCAGTGTCTTGGGGCCTGCCCTCTAACCCAGGATTCACAGTCACAGCTTCACTCACTGGCCTCCCCTCTCATAGCCTCTTCTTGCAGAAACTCCGTCTCTACCACATGTTGCCTGCCCTCTGGCTTTCTGAAGCCAAGAAGGAAGAATCCAGCTTCCTTTATTCTTTTTGGTTTTTTGAGACAGGGTTTCTCTGTGTAGCTTTGGTGCCTGTCCTGGATCTCGCTCTGTAGACCAGGCTGGCCTCGAACCCACAGAGATCCACTTGGCTCTGCCTCCCGAGTGCTAGGACTACAGGCATGTACCACTGCTGCCCGGCTACTTTAATTCTTTTATGCCTCCATGCTCATACCTTGTGGAAAATACTTCAGAATTAGACTACCAGCTTTCATCTCCTCTGATCACATCCAGAGCAGCTCTTGTAGTTTGTAGCTTTCTAGGAACACACAGCCAGGATCTTAGGCGGTCTTTCACAGATTGGAAGTTTATCTGGGTGGAATCTTGCCTTGGCCAGCTGTCCTATTGTTCCAGTGTAGAGCAGACTTTATTTTAAATTTTATTTATGGATTTTTTTTTTAGTATGAGTGCTCCATCTGGATGTATGCCTGAATGTCAGAAGAGGGCATCAGATCCCATTATAGATGGTTGTCAGCCACCATGTGGATGCTGGAATTGAACTCAGGACCTTTGAAAGAGCAGCCCATGCTCTTAACCACCTAGCCAGCCCTAGAGCAGACTTCTAAATAGCACTAATCTCTGTAATGACAGCCTTTTCCAGCACGTGACTTCCTTGTGCTCTTTTCCTCAAGCTGCACATTTGTATTTCGGCCAGACGTTTTCATTGGTCAAAGTTACACTATCTTGAAATACCTAATGCCAGAGATAGTCCTTTACTTTTTCCTGGAACTCGATTTGGAGACCAGGCTGGCCTAGTCCATTACTTTTTAATTCAGCTTCATGTCAGTTCTCAGGACTTGGGTAGAAAGTAGCCAGATTCTTTGTCAAAGGGGCACATAATGGCCTCTAGAGACATTGTTTCTCTCCAAAACCTAGGAGCCCAGCTTGTATTGTCTCTGTTACCTGCTTGCACTACAGGCCTCTAGGCTCAAATCAGGAAGTCTTGTTTCACAATGATGTCAGCATTCAACCACTTTTCTGGCCCAAAGTTCCAGTCTTCTAAGTTCTTCCAAAAAAACGTGGTCACATTTTTTCACAGCAGCAGCCTCACTTCTTGGTACAAAGGTCTATATTAATTACCTATCTGTTGCTTTGATAAAACACCGTGACCAAAGCAACTTTTTGGCTTGTAGTTCAGGGGCTATCTGTCCAGGAGAAGCTGAGATCAGACCCGCGCACCCTGGAGGCACGCAGTGAAGTGGGGGTGGATGGAGGCTGTAAACTCAGAGCCTGCCCCCCCCCCCACATGCTTCCTCCAGCAAGTCTCCGCATCCCCCCAGCAGTGCCACCAGCTAGGGACCAATTGTTCCGAATTCATGAGACCATGGGGGACATTTCTCATTCAGTCTACAACAGGAGGCAAGCACTTTCCTGACCGAACCATTCTCCCAGCCCACTCTGTTCCTCTCATTTCTCTAACAAATAGCAAAGAAGGAATATTTTTCTGATTAAAAAAATACAAGCTCTTGAGAAACATTTTGAAGAGTTTTGCATTCCTGTTACCTGGGAATAAATAGTGCCTGCTTGAATGCTATGTAGGGCACACTTACTGCATCTGCCTCAACTTTTGTTTGTGTTTTTTTTTAAGATTTTTTAATGTGTTTTCTTGCATGTTTGCATGTGTATTGCATTCATGCAATGCCTGTAGATGCCAAAAGAAGACATCAGACTCCTTGGAATTGGAATTCCAGATGATTGTGAGCCACCATGTGGGTGCTGGGAAGTAAACCCAGGACCTCTAGAAGAGCAGCCAGTACTATTAACCTCTAAGCCATCTCTCCAGCCCCTTGCCTTAATTATTTTCTCAACAATTTAATACTTTGAAAAAACAAAATTATTGTCCATCCTTCCCAAATCTGCTTCAAAGTGCAATGGGAAAGCCCAGCCTCGTCCCCTCTGTTGTGGCTTTTTCCCTCTAGGTTGCTGGAGGGGCAGGAATGTGGAGTCTGCCTTCTACTGTACATGGAAAAGCTTTGAAAATGTACAAGGGCTCTTCTAGCAAATGGAAGAACTGCGCCACCTTGCTGAGCTGGCTCCTGCAAGCGCATGGCGGTGACTCCATCTACACATTTTACTGACAGCCGCTTTGTAGTAATGAAGGTGTTCGAGTCTCACCCAGAGGCACAGATGTCTTAGAGCAGAGCAAGGTTTCTACATTGTCTAGGTTAGAAAAAAACAGCTGTGAAGTTGTGGGTTTAGATTAGACGTTTACACTGAATTTAAAACAAAAATCATGAAATGACTGTCATTTTCCTGTTTTTAATGAAATGATTTTAAGCGTAACCAAAAAAGTTTATTGAGAAGGAAGAAGTAGCTCCCTGTAACTAGGAGGGGTTAAAACTGAATTTCCTTGAAATAAAATGGTTTTACACAGATGAAAACCTGACTTGGAAGTTCTGTCCTCTCGTGCTGTTGACGTCATGTTACCCTGTTGCTTCAACCCCCTGGGCACCTCTAATTCTATTTTCAGGTGTGTAAAGGTATTTGTAATTTCCCTACAAATATTTGTATGGAAAAAAAATTTTTTTAAAGATTTATTTATTATGTATACAGCATTCTGCCTGCATGTGTCCCTGCAGGCCAGAAGAGGGCACCAGATCTCATTGCAGGTGGTTGGGAGCCGCCATGTGGGTGCTGGGAATTGAACTCAGGACCTCTGGAAGAGCAGCCGGTGTTCTAACCACTGAGCCCCTGGAAAATTTTTTTTAATATATGTAATTCATAAGACAAACCTTTTATAACCTGAGTATCAGCATGACTATCCCTTAGTTACACCATCAGACTTGACAAAGACTGTGAGTTACTATCTACAGGGACCACGATGGGATGTAAATTAAACACACAGCAATAGATCCTGACTTTGAGTGGCAGGAGGATTCTAAGAGACTCGTGCTGTGAGAGTCTGTGTCTGTTTCACAGGATGTATCTTTCTTCATTAGTTTTATTACAAGTTAAAAGGATGTTTTGTTTCACAGACGAAAAACCATGCCAGAAGTACTTGAAAATATAGACATAAAACAATACAGGTTGCAAGGGCACCTTTAATGTTATTACTGACCAGTATGCCCCACCCCAATTTGGTTATTGGATCAAAATTAAACTAGTTGGTACAAATTCAGTTACTGAACATAATTTTTATTGAAGTGTACATTATCACATGTTTAATACTAGTTAACAATCCCTATTTTGTTAACAAAGATAATGTCATTGTTACCACATACCCGATGATCCTTATCATCGGTTTTATTGAGGGATCTGCTTTATTACTAAAATATTTACACTGAGAATCCAGTGAAGTTAGCATCCTTCTTCTCAGTTTAAAAAGAAATCACAGAATTTTCACTCGTATGAGTTGGTAACAATTCTGAGACTATTTCACAGGAGATGGTTGCATTCATTTCCCCTGAACAGCAGTCTGCAGCAGCATTCCACTGCTTTTGAAAAACTGGTTGTGTTAACATCTCTGATGGGAGCTAAAGAGATGAGAGTTCTGTGTAGCACATGCTGGTACTGTGAATCTCCCTCCCTCAGCCCTTGTTCTGATACTCGGGAATACAGATCAGCTGAACGATCTCCTAGGCGATCTTGTCCTTGCTTTACAACATAGCTTATAAGGCAAACAGGTTACCAGCAGAGTCAATTCCCCAGCCCAAGAAAAAGTTTAAACCCGAGAGTTAAAACGTCTAAAAATGAGCATTCCAATGCCATATACATAAAACACAGTGCATAGGTATCTGGAATTTAAACAGCCTCTTGGTTCTAATTTTCTGTCTTCTGCCCCAGCCATTCCATCAATACTGAAAAGGATAGTTCAAAACTGTGTTTTTAAACCAGTAAAAAATACTTAGGATTCCATCTACTATCCAGGACTACATGGTCAGCTATACATACTACAGCTAGAATAAAAAGCCATTTCCTCTTCTGGTTGCTCCACGGTTCTTTGGAGTGACTTCTGTTGTCTTCCTTTCTGAAGCAGGGAAGGGACAGATGTGGCCTAATGACCTTACCCGGTGAGATGCTTGTTAGAAGCAACAGTGCTAGCAGCGATGTGACCAGGCATCTGAGGGACCCTTAGCCTGCTTCAACAAGAACTGAAGAAGAGTCCACAGGTCTAAGAAAACCTCTGCATTCAACCAGGTCACTAGATATTTTCTGCTGAAATTAGTGTTGTAGATAATCAGCTTAAATAAAACAGTTAAGGATGCCAAAGGGGCGTATGCATTCACGACTGCGTCTTTGGGATTCAGCTGTCATTAAGACAGCTGGGACATTTGGTGTGTGCTGAAGAACACCCTGAACACAATGTCTACTTTAAAATCACACTGCCATTAGACTCTTAGCAACTGCCACGGCAGTGACTCTCGTTAAGCTTTCTAATCTGAAGATCAGAAGAAAGAAAGATTTCAGCATTCTCTTTAAAAAAAAAAAAAAAACAAAAAACGATGAATTTCTGAAAATACAAAGGGTCATTTGCTTTTTAGAAAGGTCAGCTGTGCCACGTGATACTCCAGAGATGAACTGCAGGCTGCTCAAGTCTTCCCATCCATGGTATCTTTATTCGTCGTGGACACCCACTGGTTATTTTCCACCTGGAGGAAAGAGGTGAGACAATTAGCTTGTGCTGTGCTCTGAAAACAAACTTCGAAGTGACTGGTGCACACACTGACATTTTCCATTAAGAAACAAAGTTGAATACAGAAAAACCAGCTCACCTTCTTCAGTAGCTTATAGCACAGTGACAGGAGCTGGACCACGAGAGCCATCATGGACCTTATCTTTGTAATACACTTGTCAACCTATGGTGACAAAGCATGTGTGTCATCCTAAAAGCAGTACTTCAAAAACATCATCTACTTGGTTTTACAGTGGTGAAGTTTCTCCATCATGGAAATCTAAGAAATCATCAAAGGTATAGATCAGGATACCCGAGGTGACTTGAGGCTCCAGAACATGGGGAGCACTGACTGCCTGGTCTCATTCCTGTTTCATGGAACCCCAGGTAGGAGGGTGGAACAGCAGCTCTTCTCCTTCAGGCTATGCATGGGCTTCTAAAACACTCCACACTGCAGTGCACCCCCTACTTGGCAATTCTTTCCACTCCACCCAAGCTCCTCAGATATACTTCAGGAGCCTCAACTCCAAGGCACTTATGCCATAGAGAGGTAAGGACAAGAGAAGCATGCGGAGGTTGCTGCTCCACGCTAGGGACTAGGCTGCAGCCTCCAGTCTAATTTTGGTGACCTGCTGCTCTCTGGGATCAGTTAGAGAGCAGCTGCTTTCAGACAAGCATGAAACACTTGCTGTGCACGTTAGCACGGAGGGCTGGAGCTACTGATAAAGAGACGTGAGATATTCCCAAGTGTTCCCCAGATAACCCACCCTCTGCTTTACCTTTAGGAACACTTTGTTCTGCAAAGATGTCTTAGTTATTGTCTGAAGCTGGTGGCATAGAGGAATTAGCTTGTTTATTTCCAGGAGAAGCAGAAGTTTGTCGTCATCTTTCAGCTGAAATGTAATTTAGGAAGTTATTGCAACCCCAACAAAACTCCATCTTGTATACTTTTTTTTTTTTCCCTTCTAGACAGCATCTCACATGGAGCCCTGGCTGACCTGGTACTCATGATGTAGACCAGGCTGGCCCTAAACACATAAACACCACCCCTGTCTTGGTCTCCTGAGTGTTACACCACACCTAGCCTGTATCTCTTTTCTTTCCTTAGTGCTTGATTTTTTTTAATATAAAAATAAGAAATAACTCAAATCTCATAGGATGTCACTAACAAAATCATGAAACAGTGTTTGTTTGTTAATAATGTAGAATTTCCACAAATCATGAATATTTGTTATTCTTTGTCTTTTGTGGTGCTGCAGACAGAACTCAGGACTTTGTGCATACTAGAGAAGGTCTTCCAATGGGTTAGATCCATCCCCATAGGAATATTGTAACTGTGGTGATATAGTGTCCCTCAATATATTGTGCATTCTAATAAACTTATCTGGGGTCAGAGGACAGAACAGCCACTAGATAGACATAGAGGCCAGAAAATGGTAGCACACATGCCTTTAATCCTATCACTTGGGAGGCAGAGATCCATCCGGATCTGAGTTCAAAGCCACACTGGAAACAGCCAGGCATGGTGACTCACGCCTTTAATCCCAGGAAGTAATGGCAGAAAGCAGAAAGGTATAGAAGGCGTGAAAACCAGGAACTAGAGCTAGTTAAGCTTTTAGGCTTTTGAGCAGCAGTTCAGCTGAGATCCATTCGAATGAGGACACATAGGCTTCCAGTTTGAGGAAACAGGATCAGCTGAGAAATTGGCCAGGTGAGGTTAGCTGTGGCCTGTTCTGTCTCTCTGATCTTCCAGCATTCACCCCAATACCTGGTGCTGGGTTTGTTTTTATTAATAAGACCTTTTAAGATTCATGCTAAATATAACCACACAAAAATGTACACAGTGTAACAAAAACAAGAAAACAAGCTAATTTTTTCTGAATTTGCCTATCTCATGTGTTAGTAATATGCTTCCAGTGTAGGTATGTGAAGACAGACAGAAATGATTACCTGTTTCGAAAATGACTGTACATTTGAAGTAAGCTTTAATCCCTCTGCAGCAAAAACCTGGTAGAGAAGGGAAACAGTGCTATTCAAGATCAATGTCTTCTGGATGGTTGGTAAACAAATTCTCAATTATTTCACATAGTTGAAAAATAACCCAGACATTAAGAATCAGCCCTAGAGCTCCTAACATTTTTCATTGTACCACAGGAAGAGCTGGAATCAGAAATTGTCCCAGACCTAAGACAAAATCCAAAGAGAGGCACCTCTGTCCCTATAGACATCCATTATTCTGCAGAGCCACACAGGCCTGGGACCCACAGCCTCACAAATTCTCTGTTCCTTTCTGAAGGGATCCCCGGCTCAGTTCCTAAGATCTCCAATTACAGAGGGGAATCATTTTTCTTCAGGCCGTAACCACTTGCCCAGGATTCAGTAAATAACCTCACACCTGGACACATGCAAGCAACCCCAATTAAACAGTGGGGTATTAAAAAAAAAAAAAAAAAAAGACATGAAAGTAGGAAGGGCATGACCTGGGAAGAAGAAAAATCGAGTTCCGGGGAGGGGGATAAGAGAAAGGAATGCAGGGGGGAGAGTAAGGTCAAGATCATTATATACATGTATAAAATTGTCAAAAAATAAGTAGGACATTCTTTTTGTGAATCCTCAAGTATAAGAGTCACGAGTCATCCTGGAGAATGAGGACAAGTTAGAATTCTGCTGCTTCCACCCAACCATGACCAAATTTACTTCCAGACACATTGCACACCGGCTGAGAGGACCAATCCAGACTGTTACATTTTGTTGTAATTTTCAGATTTT